CGAGAGAGAGAGAGAGAGAGGGAGAGAGAAACAAAAGAGCAATATAACGTGTGCTAAGCGAGGAAGGAGAAGAATCCTAACCCTTCCCGATCTGTTCGACGGCTTCGTCTTCGTAATCTTCCTTTCTAATGCCGGAAGCGAGGCGAGGAGTGAAGGGGCGATCGGGTCGGAGATGAAGTGCAGGCAACACAACCACGAAAGCGGCGCCGGCGTTTGCGCCTCCTGCCTCCGCGAGCACCTCCTCGCCCTCGTCGCCGCTCGGGGGGACCACTCGCCGCCCGGCTCCCTCTCCCTTTCCCCCTCCCCCTCCCCCTCCCCGCCGCCGCTGCCGCTGCAGCAACCGCAGCCCCTCCCCCCTGCCCTTTCCCTCGTCGGTCTCCCCCTTAGCCTGCTGCCGCCGATCCGATGCCAGCGCGTCCGCGGCCTGCGGTCAGCCCCACCTTTCCTCCGGCAACCACGAGGCCGGGCCTTCATCATCTGTCGGCCGGCGGTCCGGCTCCGCCAAGTTCTCCATCCTCTCAACTCTGTTCGGCCACCACCAGAGGTCCGAGGAGGCGACCATGCCCGATCAACGAGCTCAGAGATCCCCGCGATCGATCCATTGGTTCCAGGGGCTCATTAACGGACGCCCGAAGAAAAAGAAGATGTCGCGGCTGCTCTCGGCAGACGATGCCGTCACGGCGGTGGCGGAGAACCCGAGGAGGTTCTGCCGAGGTCGTGTCCGGGGTCTGTCACCGGAGTCCGGGGGGTCCGCTCCAGAGAGCGGGTACAACACGGAATCTCCAGTCGCGGGCTGGTGGCGCCCGACGCCGTCGCCGAGGCGTCGGGAGACGGCAGAGCACCAGCACCACGGCCGCGGGCTCGCGGGGTTCGCCGTGTGCCTCAGCCCGCTGGTGCGACCGGGCGGCCCCAGCCGGAGGCGGTTCCAGGGGCCGGGTCTGGCGCTCTGCGGCGAGTTCCCGAGCCCGCGCCATCACCGGCAGGCGGCCCCCGGGGAGCCGGCGCTGTGTCCCAATCGCTCGCGGAAGCTTGCGCACTTGGGTAAGTTCCGTTGAAGCTTCTGTTCCAACAGTTACTCTTTATTTTTTATAAATAAAAATATAAGAAAATGTTTTTTTTTCTCTTTATTTTTGATAATTATAAATATATATTTTTTCCCCTGGAATGTCAAGTAAACAGGCTTTTTCAGCCCCTTTCGTGCACCCGAGCCAGATGGTTGGTTGGTTGGTTGGTTGGTGTATATTGTTGCAATATGTTTATTCCATCGATTGGCGTTTCTGACAGTATATCGAATCTGCAAAAAAGGTGTCGGAAGGGGTGATAGATAGAAAAGTAGCGTCTCTTTTTAGAGAACACATCTCATATTTTGAGGAGTCAAACCCAAATGTTCCCCTTATCCTACCTATTATGTATGTCATGATGGATTCGTGCACATTAACAACACCTTGTCTATCTATCTGTCGTCTTCATCCCAAGTGTTAGACTGCAATTGGTTGATTTAATCGGAACACAGGCAGGTGGGTAGGTGTAGGAGGACAAGATAGTGGATGTGGCTCCGATGAGATGATTCAAAGGTGGGTGGAAGTCAAAGCCACCCTTTTGGCCATTAAAAACTGGAGCAGTCCGGCGTAACAAAGTAGAATGTATGTTTTTGTCGCTGTCGAGTGTGGGAGATGATGATAAGGTTTGAACCAGTCGAAACGCAGCCTTCGGCTCCGGTGGAGATTTGGATGGGCTTAGGTGGATGGGAGTTTGTTTGATCAATTCTTTGAGTTGGTTTGGATGCCTAACTACAAAAAAAAAGGGTCCCACAAGGTTTCTTCGAGAGCGACTCATCGGAATGGTGGGCTAATTATGGGTTGTCTTATTATTATGCTGGGGGGATTAAGGTGCTTAAACTATTATGCGATTAGTGCCGCCGCCACGTTGTCTCCTAGTGGTGCCTAGCAAACGTTAGTGCCTTGCACTAACAGCAGCGATTGAAAACATATACACTTTTTGAGGAAACATGGTTTTATTAATAATGTGAGACATAGACGAAGAATATCAAAGGACGAATTGTTGTGGCAAAAAAAAAAAACACCTTTATTATTTTTTATTTCGTGAAAAGTATCTTATTTTTTAAGGGTATCCATCCTCATCTTTTCATATATTAAAATACCAACAACCGTTGTTTTCTTTTTCTTTTTCTTTTTTTCTGACCAGTCCACTCATTTTGGACCGGTCCATAAAATAACTGATCCAATTCCTCAAATTATAATGTTTTTAAGCAAGCTTATAATATTTTCAAAAACACCACAGACCTGTTAAAATGTATTGTAACGGACATGAAGTCTTCTTATTTATTTAGTCTGAATGTGTATTTGAAACCCTATTTTTATATGGACTGATTTCTTTTGAGTTTGATTTTGTGAATATGCAAAAAACAAAAAAAAAACTATTAACTTATTTTTAAATATTATAACTGACATAAAAAAATCTCTCTATTTGATTGTTCTTGTTTCTAAACTAATAGAAAAAAAAAATCTAAAGCATATTTTTTTTATATATAAGTTGGTTTTTGAATAAACTAACATGCTAATTTCACTATTTAATTATTTTTGTTCCTAAAATAATAAGAATATTTTTTTTATAATAAATATGAACTTTATTGGGCATATATTAATATTCTGTTTGATATTATATGTTTTGACCTAGTTCAAAATTTGGTTTCGTTCAACCGGTTGAATTAAATGAGTTTGAATAGGAAGGAAAATGAGAAGAAAAAAAAAACAAACAACTAGTTGAGGATACTTTTATCATTTAACAAAAAAGACTTTACAAAAAAAAAAAAAACTAACAGTAGGACATTGTTCGAAAGAAGGGCAAATTAGGGGCTTTTTATAAGAAATTACCCATTTAAATATTCTAATTACAACGAGCAAATAATTGAGATATTATTAATATGGTTCAATTTGATCATCAATCTGATCTCAGGAAATTGACTTGACTCTTTTTTTTTCTTTTTCTTTTTTTACTGCTATCACCTGTGGCAGAGAAAAAGAAGCCAGTCGAAAATAACTTCACTTGAGGATTAAAAAAAATAAAAGTGGGAATCTCTCGTCTCATATGCCACTCTAACCTAAGGATAGAAAACTCTTCATACCCCACCTTGGTTAAAACAAAACATATGTATCTTATATCTGGCTTCTTCCATTCTTGCAAGACAAAACACGTGCATATTATATATCTCACTTCTTCCATTCCTACAAAAGAATTGTTCGACAATACCTTTTAAATAGTTAAAAAGTCAATGCTTGTTGGATCATAGTGGGTTTTAGCTTCATTTTAATAAGTTCAAAATCCAAACAATAGCTATAGAAAGCTTGATTCATATATCATACCATCATGAGAAAACATTCCTTTAGATATTATGCTAATGTGACATGCCCAATAAGCACAGGATAATCTTTGCTTGATCAAAAATAATAATCATGTCAATTGCAATTGTTGTCCTTGGAGACGCATAACATGGATTTTTATTTAAGATTAAACTTGACTAAATTAAGTTCAGGTAGTTAATGGATATAAAATTGAGTACACAAGGTCTAGACAATCACCTTTTATTGTTTATACTAAAATATTCATCTTATCAGCTCACCTAATTAGAACACTCATAAGATCTTTTAAGACACATCTAATATAATTTTAAAATGCGTGCATTTCGTTTTATTTAATTTAATTTATTTTTATTTGAATTACAACTCCACCTAATTGTTTGTGAACAAAAAAAGATATAGTGCAATTAATTAACCAACTGATATAAACTAAACTTAATTCAACAGTATGTGCAATTGCAGGATGCATATCTGCAGTGACTAGGATATCAAGTTTGTCTAGAAATAAAATCAGCCACAGATAGGAATCACAGAGTGTAAAAACATACTTTTACATCGAAGCCAGCTTCTGCACTTGTTTCAATGAACATGAACCAAGATCTTTGGCCTTGGCTTCTCCTTCCTCCGTTAAGACCTGTCCAGCTCATAAACACACAAGAGAACCAGAATTCTTTTAATCTAATAATCTGAAACATAGTTTAGATTAAAAAGCAGAGTCATAAGTTTCACAATATCAACAAAAATGACAGCTGCACAGTGGAATAAAAATATACAGCCAACAGGAAGGTCTTTAAAATGGGACAAATAATTTTATGACCCGACGATCTCCAACTACCTCAACGACTCTCCAAAGCAAAGAACATCGTACTGTCCAATATGGTATGATACGGGTGGCGTGTATCAGTCCACCCGACGACCAACATGCAAACTGCCACATTTCGGGCAGCACTTAACAGGTGGGGGTATACAGCCCGATACACCACATATCTCGAGCGAAACAATCGAAATTTGTCCATTATGGATATCTATCGATCGGTAACGATCCTTACCAGATGAAGGGTTAAGACTGGGTCTAGTCCAACAGTCAATTAGTATACTTTAAAACACTCCTCATTTCCTCTCACACACAACTTTACCCCTATCTTTCTTATTCTTTCTCACTCTCTTTCTCAATTTAGCATCCTAATCAGTGATTACAGATTCAATTGCATGGATTCAATTAATCGAACAAGTCATTTGGTGGAAGATCTCTTCAATTAAAGGTATTTATGCTCTTTATACACTTTAGTTAGCTTCTGACATGATTATATCTTTATTAATATCTTATTATGAGTAATTACAATTGATTAGTGTATTTCTCTTGATATTAGAGCTAATTTTTCTTAATTATAGCTAGGTGTGACTAGCATCATTCTTTATAATTATATCTTTTTATGTTACCATGCTGGTACACTAATGACATATAGTTTTAGGATTAGATTGGATAGACATATTTTCTATTTTTAAGTTTTTTTTCACTTTTCTTAGTAATGTTTAATTTGTCTGTATGTACTGACATACCGACATAAGGCACGTTGGTACCAACTGATATGTACCGATCCGAACTAGGACCAACACCATTGATCTGGGCTAGTGCTCCAATGCACTCTTTGAAAGCGGTCCAAGCAGGCTATCTTGTTTGGTACCTGAATGGGCAAAAGGGAAGACCCATACGGTCAGCTCTTAAGGCTTCCTTTGATGGAAATTTGCACGGGCTAGCTTCTGAGACTACTTGATGATGCTACTACTAGGGACTGAAGGAACCAAGCATCAAAGTTACAAGCTTCGCGAACCACGAAAGAGAGGATGAAGAGATAGGGCTTCGGCCAAACATCTCTTTCCTAAGGTAGGATGAAGTTCAATATATAAAACACTATAAAGTTAAAATGAACTTCGGTCATAACCAGATCAGATCAACCTTGATCTGTCTCTGATCCAATTATTTGGGTTGAATCAGATTGCACCGTGATCAAATCTCAAGTCAGACAGGTCAGATCTGATCCATTGACATCCCTAACATTGGCTCCCAGAAGCAAAGAATTGATAAAAAGATAGCAACGTTACAAATATCACTGAGGAGTCATGGTTCTCACCTTTTGTCAACAAGGTCAGTTTTGTTCTCAACAAGCACGATAATAACATCAGTTCCCCACTCTGTTCAAACTTCTTCAAACCACTTTGAAGTAGTTAAGAAAGATTGCCAGCCTGCAATGGGAGTAATGTAATCAATTAGAGACCACATGACAAGAAGTTGATCTGATAAAACAATAAAGAAAACAAAATTTTCTATGTGAAATTTTAAATGGATTCTGCAGTGTTGCAAGTAGTCTTCTGGACTTGTTTCTCAGAAATAAACTTTCTTGAATATAAACCAAGAATCCACATAAATTTACAAAAGAAACATATTTGCAACATCATATACAATGACAGCAACACAGGAGTCCCTTATGTAGCTTGGAATCAGAGGCTCCAAAATCTCTCCTAACCAGCTATGTCCCTATGTAGATTAAAATTCCCTGATAATAACTCTCAGCAAAAAAATCTTCAAAGCATACATTAAGAACCTGCACAAAACAGAATACTTAAGTATCTTTTGGAATTCCTGCTTACTGTATCAGTAAGTTCATATGAGCTTTTAACCAATATTCTTCTTAAAAGTTGGTCTTAATATTCTGTTGCCTGTTCAAAATATGGTGAGTCTCGATTCAAAACCATAATGATAAGGTACTTTATGTCTGTAAATCCTACTATAATTAAAGAAAACTGAGCCCCGGCTTTCTTCTCTATATGAAACAAGCAGCCAACATGTTTTCAACAGTCCGCTCATAGCTAATGTAATACTGTAAACGTAACGTGCAAGTTCCTGTAATACAAACAATGTGCTCAGCAGAACAGAAAAAAATGCCCACGAATTCTTTAATTTTGGATTTCCAAAACCTTAACGTTCCACAATGTTTTGGCCAGTTTAAATAATTAAATAAAACTCTATTACCAGATTTTTTTCATGAGGAATTAAATATCAGAATGAGAGAGAGAGAGAGATTCCTGGTAAATTTTGGAAAATAAGAAGTTACAGCAACAGTTAAATCACTTCGACATCAGTCCAAGCATCAGGAAAATGTTTTGATAGAACAAAGTATGATTCCTATCTAAGACAAATCTTAGTCAAATAATGGACGCTAATGTATCAGTTAGTACATATCAACAGATATTAAGAAAAATTATATTTATGACAAATAAGTACAATTTTTATAGCACAAAGGTTGGATTAAAAAAATGCTGCTAGGCAATAATAGTCACACCACAATGGGCATCTAGTGAATGTAAACCAACAAACAAAGAATCAGAAATGAAATGGCACTTCTCAAAACAAAAACATTCCCAATTTATAAGAATGATTGAAATACAGTGGTAACCTACCAAATCTGTAGTCTGACAGTCCTGTCTTCAAGTTACATAGTCTTTGAGAGAAAATCTATGTCACTTGTAGTCTGTTAATCAACTTAGTAATCTAAGCATGATAAAGACTGGACAATTTCAAAAGGAAGTATAAACTATTATATGTCTACTACACATTTTCTAATCTCTTCTTGAAGAATAACCATTGACAACGCTATATAAGCCAATTTACGACACACATGCAGAAAGACAAAACTTACATCAACCAGTTGACCATTGAATCATCTTCTGTAGGTCAGATGAAATAAATATTATTGCAGTTCCCGAAGAACTCCAAATTGTAATCAAGTTTTAATTATTAAAAAAATCAGCCAAATCAATTTAGCAAGTTTTCACGTTATAATATACATGGCCACAGTCCATTCAGATCAGCAAAAAGAACATCCCAGACCAGCTTCAACAACACCTACAAAATTATGGACCAAATCCAGCAAATTGCATGGGCTTAGAACAGCCCAGCAATAGGCCAACTGCAGCCAGACCTCCTGTCAAACCAGCGACAGGAGCCTGTTGCCTCCTTATTGCACACAGATTCCTGTGGCAACAGTAACTCCTATCCATGATCAGAATAGCCGACAACAATCCACCCGAGAGGCAGATCGCATACTCCCGTCGCGAACGGAATATTAGAGAACAAAATCGTTCCTACTCGAATCTCAGTGTAATTAGAAATGACCAACAGTACATGATCGGAACCAAAGAACCCTAAACAAGGGCGACCAATCTCCAATTCAAGAACCTAGATACAGAAAAAGATCTCTATGATAAAACATACAAATATAAACGCGGGTCTCAAAGGAATACCGATCGACCTGATAGGCATTGTCGAACTTGTCGTACATGAGTCTGGTGATGATGCCGGTTTTCCACCGACTGATCGCCGAAGAACCCCAGCTTGTACTGGACTAGCGCCGACAACGGAGCCATCGCCGTATCGATCAAGAGAGAGAGGGATAAGTAGAGATCGAATGCGAAGACGGCGGCAGAACGGAGAAGCGATTCGGAAGGAGACGAAGAGTTAAGCCCAAGAACTCCATTATTTCCCGAAAGCAAATTGCTTATCGACATCATACTTTTTAGGCTTATAGTTGATTTAGTTGAGATTTATAGTGTCTTCAAATATATTTTAAAAAATTATATTATAATAATCATAATATTATATTAAATTAATATTTTATTTCTATTTAGGTGATATGTTTTCAAATTATTATAGATATTTATTTTAATCGATATATCAAATGGTTTCTAATGTCTTGATATTTTATTTTATTTTATTTTTATTTTTATTTATTTATTTATTTTTTAAAATAGAAAAAGTATAGTTAATTTTTTAAGGAATAGTTTGAATTTTTTCGAATTAAGATACTGTTTAATAAATTCAAAGGATGTCTTTTGAGAAATTCTTTTTTAGCAATTATATATATATATATATATATTGAGAAATCCAGATGAGATGACGATGTGTTCATTTCCCATGAGCATGAGCATAAGGAACATGATCTTATTCGGTGACAGACACAAATACATGCAATGCATTTCATGCTCCTCCGCAAGTACGCAACGCAACTACGAACTCGAGAGCTCCATGAATTTTCGAGTCATCAGCATGAGGTAGAACGCGTTCTTGCCGTCCTGCTCCATCACCTTTCCCGCAGCTTCCGCGCAGTTCGTCGGGGCAAAGAGAGGCGTTGCGAACATGGCCTGGGCGACATCATAGTGCTTCGACACGAAGAACTGCGACGCCCACCGCAGCGGCTGGATGATGTTGTTGTAGAGCAACGAGCAGGCCTCGAACGAGTTCTTGATGGCGGGGCTGGTAGCTTCGCGCTGCAGAGCCAGCAATTTGGTGGTGGAGCTCGTGACGTTGGAGTAGGTGAGGTTAAGGGCGATGAGGGCGAGGGCGGAGAGGTCAGCGGAGTCGCTTTTGGGGACGGCTTGGAGAGACGTGATGCAGAAGGCGGAGTCGAGCGTCTGATTGCACGCCTTCCCCATGGTCTCGGACACGGCGGCGGAGAAGCAAGGGAGGAAGAGGAAGGGGAGAAGGAAGAAGAGGAGGTGGGGCAGATAAGATGGATGCAACATCTCCTTCTCCCTCGTCTCGCTTTCTCTAAGCAAATTATGGCGGATGAACGAGGAGGAGTGGTGGGATTGCTATTTATTTATAAGGGAGCAAATTATCGATTAATAATAATATAGTAATTACTTAATTTATTTTTTCATTCCTTATATAAAAATTACTTTAAATTAAATAATATTTTCTTCTTCTTTTTTTTAAGAAAAAAGGCACTGAGACATAATTTCGGAGGAAAGTATATATATATATATATAGTCACTTTTATCCCTTATAAAGAAAATTAAATAAGTAATTTTTTGTAATTCAAATTTTACTTTTAGAATACAAGTAATCATATAAAAGAGATTGTAAATTTGATATACGTTACAAAATCTTAAATTTGTTAAATGATATAAGTGTATTTGGAGTAATTTGATTAGATGGAACAATTTCACAAAGAGATTATATTTAAAGTATCATGACAGAGGTTTATATGGTACATAGTATTTGGCAATGATGAGGTGGTATGTATGGGGTGATATATTGTCAATGCATCGGGGAGATTTGTTTCTAAATGGAATTAGTACGGCGTAGACCATACCATACTCATCCTAACTAAAATCACGTAAGATAAGAAAATTGATTGCATATCTTATTTATACGTATATAGCATCCGTAACTAATGGTTTTGAGTGGACTTTGAATAATTACAAGAAATACGAGGCTTAATAAGACCAAAACGATTTTTCACTTAAAGATTCACATACTTTTCGCTAACATCAATCACGTATACAAGTAGGTCTTTACAAACATAATAGATAAAACTCATTGGATACTTGCAGTGATTCACAAATCATTATCAACACATACACAATAACCAAGAGTCACTCTTTTGTGGAGCTGTAGAATATCAAATATGCAATGATCTATTCTATTATCACTTGTTGAATTCTCCTTTTTCTATTTATTTATTTATTTATACCTTTTTTATTTCCTCCAAAATGAATGCTCTATGTAGGATTTGAATTGTTTAATACTTTTCAGAATGAAAAAGTGGGAATGAAATATAATTTAATAAAAAATTGAAGAAATATAATATAATAAAAATTTCTCATAAATCGTGTGAGGTGATCTCGGAGATTCAATGTTTCTTGGCCATAAGGTATGGTAGGTAAGATAGTTGTGAATGCACCAAATTATTCACAAGCATAATAAGCTATATATTAAGAGTACCCCATTTCGGAAACTAATCATCAAGGTTTTCTTTTTTTTTTCCATGAATAAATTTTATGAGATATCTAAACAAATGTATGCAGAGAAATGGCTCATGATTTTGTCAATAGTCGTAAAATTTCTACTTAATGTTGAATCTCATATTTTAAAATCAATTAATAGTGTCGATCTAACGTGCGTTCGAGTGATAACGTCAATCAGGAGCGTTGAATCTCGTATTTTGATGATGAAACTAATTGATAATTGTGTTTATGTTTTAATCTACGTTTTGAGTGACGCAAGATGCTTCGATCAGGATGAGACAATTAAAACATAAAAAATCATGTTGTGCTAGAGGAACATGTCAGAAGATTGGACGTCGGGCAGGTGGATCGGTCGACGTATCGACAGAAGGCTTCGGGCCAAAAAGAGCAGGTATTGTGCCAAGGATATCGGAGTTGCGGAGGTCAACTGGCCGATTGAGCAATAGGCCGCAAGAGAGGACGATGCGCCGAAGAATCAGACGAAGCATCGATGGACCAATGACATGCCGGACAATATGATTCATGCTTAGTAATAATTGTCTAGATCGAAGTATGTTTTTATGTGTACAAAATTAACTACGATAGCAAGGCATAAAGCAAAATGAAGTCCCGGAGTCAAGAACGCGATTTCGTTGGGAGTTCGAGAGTTCGTCGGAAGTTCGGACATTCATCGGAAGTTTTGTCGGAACCAACCAAGAAGTCTAGGAGCTTGCCAAAAAAGCTCGTCGAAACTCACCAAGAAGATCATTGTGAAGTCCAGGAACTTGTTGGGAGTCCGTTGGAACATTACCGAGAGATCGTCGGAAGATCACCGGAAGCTCGCCGAAAGAAATCGAAATTATCTTGCTTAGATTATGTCTTAGGAATCGTAGTTAACACATAATTGGAGTTGGGATTGAGAGGTAATCCCATAAACTTTATTAGGGGCCAATTGGGCCCGAAGTTGGGCTGGTTTGGGCCAGATTCAAGGCCCAACCAAGGTGCTGAAACCCAAGTCGGCGGTGGCACCGCCTAGGGAACAGCACTCCAGGAAATCTGGGTGGTGGTACCATTAGCAGTAATGCTGTCAGCGGTGGTACCGCCCCTGTTCGGCGGTGGTACCTCCCAGTAGCAAATCCTACGGTAGTAGCACCACCCAAGAATGACGATGGTATCGCCAGTACCTAGGAAACCTAGGATGAGACCTTTTTAGGCTCCGAGTTTGAATCAACTTGAAGCCTATAAATACCTCTCTCATCCCTGGTTAACTTATATAAGCACAGAGAGTTAAAAAGTAAGAAAACGCCATAGAAATCCCCTCCTCTAGCTTAAACTTAGAATTTTGTATAGAGAGGAGTGTGTGCTTGTAAAGGTTGTCTCTTGAACCTGTGAAAAGGAGAAGAGGGGTGTAAGAAGGAGGTTGATCTTCACATATTAAAGGAAGATCGATAGTGGATACCGGTGGCCTCGACGAAAGAGGAATCAGCGGAGTGAATGTAGGTCACGACGACCGAACCACTATAAAAATACAGTTTGTCTTTTCTTTTGTGAAATTTATCTTACTGTAAACCTCCTTACTTACTTACTACTTTCAACATGTTTAAGAATATGCTTTCAAGTTGAGCAAGTTTCCGAAATCGGTTTTATTGTATGAAACGAAAGAAATTTTTAGAATCGTGATTTTTACCGTTGCTCTAATTCACAACCCCCCCCCCCCCCCCCTTAGTGCCGACATGTTCCTAACATTATATTTTTGGTCTTGATGATTTTTTATTTTAATTATGCTTTATGTTCAATGAAGCCATACTTAATGTCTTAATAAAAATATTAAGAGATTTGATATCATGCTTAATGAGTTTATAGTTTGAAATTGTGCATGTTATACCTTGAAAACTTGAAACCATGTTTTAGTATCATGCCCAAAATAATGATGCATAATGATCATGCTTAATTAGTTTATATTTTAAAATTATGCATGATGATTTTTATAATTTATTGCTTGTTGATTTGATCAAATTTAATTTAATTTTCAGTTTTAAATGATGATGAATGTTTTTATTTAGCAAAGGCTTGTATGAAATAAAAGAGAATACATTTCATGAAAATTTCTCAATCTCTATCTTATCGAGTTTTCGTCATAGAGATCTTTATTAATGAATCTATTTACGTTATGAATTTTATGAATCATGAAATTGATTTGATGAATTTGAATGAGTTTTATCGAAATCATAATTTCTCGAAACTTATAATATGAAATCTTTTGTGAATCAAGATCTTGTATTTGATCTCCTATGCTTCTCTTTGTCATTTATAAAAGAGGAGAATTTTGTAGATGAATCATGAATTTTTTAGAATTATAAATATTTTTTTAAGTGAGATGTTATATATGTGAATCTATCTACATTGACTTCATTGAATTTTCCAAAAATTGATTTTGTTGATGATCTTGGATCTATTTTTATATGACTAATGAGATGATATATCCAACTAAATTATTTATCATATTTACAGCTAGTAATATATTCAACATGAAACATCTTTCTTGATTCTCGCATACTTTTAAGAGAACATTCATCTAAACAAATCATGACTATTTTTTATGACTTGAAAATTCTTTTGCATGAATCAAGATCATTTATTTGCACTCCTACGTTTTCTTTTTTGGTATTTTTTAAAGAGAAGATTTACTATATGAATCATGTCTTTTGGTATTCACATGATCTTATCCTTCATGATAATTTTAATTTCTTGAATTCATGAAGTATATCTCATCACTAAATTTTTCTTGATATCTTCCATGTGATGACTTTAATATTTACACCTTTGTGTTATTCCCCTCTTTTTGCCAATGATAAAAGGGGAGAAAATAAATGTTGAATGTTTGGTACCAACAATCATGAAGTGATAAATTCTTTAAAATATTGATTTAATATTTGGTATCATGTATAATATGTCCATAGTGATGATTTATTTTTAGTATCATGAAGGATGAAATGTAAGGTTTTGAAATTATGCATATTTTAATTTCAAATTATAATAATGCACAAACATATTAAAAAAGGATTGATACTTTACCTTTGTCATAATTTAAAAATTGATGTAAAGTGTCTTTCGTTCATTTTAACAATGACAAAGGAGGAGATAAAAGATGCTAACTTGCATAATTCAAGAAGAAAGCAAAAATTGCTAGTTGGAACATCACCAAAAAATGATAGCTTGTCTATCTTAAGAAGCAAAAATACAAACTTGCATAATTTGTAATCTCGCATGCCTTTAAAATTAATGATGATTTAGTGATTATGTATGTTGTAAAGTGAAGAAAAATTTACTAGCTTGCATGATATAAAACTTGCTAAATTTGCTAACTTACAAATTGCAAGAAGAAATTTGCTAGGAAGCTAAAGAGAAAGAAAGATTGAGCAAAACTCTATGATTCTAAAGTTGTAAACCATATTAGAAAGTTGAGTTCCCTCCCCCTAAAGCCTAAAGAGAATTCTAAGGGAGGTGCCAGAGGGATACCTTGTAAAAGAGGGTTATAAAATGTTGTCTCCTAAACCTGTGAAAAGGAGAAGAGGGGTATAAAAGGATAATTAGTATTCGCCCATTGAAGAAAGATCATTAGTGGATGTCGATGGCCTCGACAGAAGAGAAATCGGTGGAGTAGATGTAGGTCACAATGACCGAACCATTATAAAATTGGCGTGTTCTTCTATGATTTATATTTCTATTGTTGCTATTTACATACTGCAAACTGCATTACGCTTCCATACGTCTTAAAGTCAAGTACATTTTCGATATGGTTTTTCATCATATGAAATTTTCAGAGTTTTTCAAAATTATTATTTTTATTCGCTGTACTAATTCACCCTCACCCTCACCCTCCCCCTCTTAGTATCGACTTGTTCGTAGTAACATGTATAACATACAAAGCAATTAATTCTGAGTTGTAAAATAATAACAACAACAACATCAAAAACTGTAGACTGTAAACGGAGAGATGTAAAGTAGGGTTAATCGTCAGCTAACTTCAAGAAAGATAAATGCAGCCAAAAAAAATTTAATATAGTATAGTTACAGGCTTACACTCTCTATATTGCTGGCTTATCATCGGTCTAATCTCACGATGGCTGTCATCTGATAAGATAAAAGGCTTAGCAATTCCGCAGGTGCAATAATTTTTTTTAATAGGCTAACTGTAGTTTAAAAACACTACATAAACCTATTCTGGAATGTAAGTCTGCCCTAAAACACGGCCACTGATATTAAAGTTTTTGTTCTTGCACCTATAACTATTTATTTTTTGAGTTTATTTATCTCGATTTATAATGTTTGTTTTTGAATGGATGTTTTGATAAAGGTATCCATATATATATATATATATATATATATATCATCAACATGTTTTATTTATTATCGATATAGTTAAAGAATTTTTTTTAATTATAATGATAAAAAATCTATTATAATTTGTTAATCTTCCATCCTCTTCTATAGAGTCCTTTTATCATTTCTATCATATTTTATACATTAAACCACTTGATAAATCGACACACCAGTTCAATTAATTGGCCAGTGCAGCAGTGGCATCTGATCTGATTTTGATAACTATTATTATGTCATGAAGAATTTAATATACACATGAGCATTTGGAATCTAATTCCAATTGGATGTTTCTTTGGGTTTCACGGGTTCCTTGTGTTTTACGTGTTGATGGTGTACTAAATGAAAAGGTTTATCATTTTATCTACGTACGATCTTATCTTCACATAGTTTGTGGTCCTCCATGAATGCATGACATTATCGTGGTTGTTCGATGCCCATAACACCCACCGTCAAATTTGGTTCCCTCCTCTTCTCTCCTTCGCTTAGTTTTGGTATTCATGAAGAAATAACTCGAGCAAGTAATTTCCACGGCGCTTAATCCATGGAATCTGAGATGATTGCCAAACTCCATTCCACTGGAGTAACACGACAACACAAAAACCGCTGCCCTTCGGTCCACAACTCCCCACATTAAACCGGCGTTAAATCTATGGGGTAACTGCCAAAACAACCCCCACCACAGTCCGTCGGCGCCGTCACTGATCGACCACCCCACCCCATGGGATCTCGCTTTTGAGCCGTCCGATTCGTTGCGTGTCCGACATGCGTGGATGCCAGCGGGGCGTTGTGGTAGTTTGTGCAGCCTCGTGTGGGCTTTTGAGTCATTTGGGGATGTCCGATTCGAGCTTCCGTTACGGCGCCGAGGGGCGTGGATCGATGGGAGGGCTCTGAAATGACTTTTATGCCCCTATCAGCCATCTGTAGAAGCCGTGGTAACCGCCCTCCTCCGCCTCCCGCCGCTCGCTCCCCTCTAAATCCCACGAGATCCGCCCCATTCCTCCTCCTCCGCCGTTGTCGTAGCGATGGCTCCACCGGCCGGAGAACCGGAAAGAGGAGAAGGAGGAGGACGCGAGCCGGTCCACGTACTCACGCAGCCATCCCCTCCCTCCTCCCCCAGCCGCCTCCGCCACCTCCACCCCCGGCGGCGCCGGCCCCGAAGCGACTTCCTCTGACACCGTTGTTCGCTTCTCATCCTTCTCCGTCTGTCTCCGGATCCGAGCCACCACCGCCTCCACCTCCTCGTCGACCACGTACTCGAACGACGACCCCAAGGAGTACGTCCGCAGGTGGGGCGGATGGTTCACGGCTGGCCCCACCTCCGAAGGTGATCTCCGCCGGCTGACGCTGCCGATCTCCACGCGGAAGCTGCCCGACCTGGAAGGGCCCGCATGGGCTGAGACCGTCGGCGGCGGGAGGGGCAGGGCGGGAAGAGCGATGGAGGCTCGGCAGAGAGGGCAGGAAGGGATGGACCGGAGCCACGGGTCGACGCACTGGGAGTGGAAAGCGTGGCGGCATGCGGGGAGAAGGCGGAGCTCGTCTTGGGGGCGGAAGGGGCAGAGGCAGACTGAGCAATCCGGCGACGACTTGGGGAGCACAGCGAGGGAGGAGGCGAGGGAGAAGAGCGGGAGGGAATCGATGAGTGCCGCCTTGTCTTTGTCAGATAGGCCGGAGTC